GAATAGCTCGGCCGGCAATCCATCGGCCCCCACCGCTTTGTTGTTTTTCAGGCGGGTATATCATAAAATTATTACTGGATAATCGATAAAGATAGCAGGTTCTAACGCACCAGTCGACATATAGATGGCGCCACCAGGGGGCGCCAGATTCAAAAAATCCTATTTATTTTTGAAAATTCCTTGTATAGCGATCTTAACCTTTTCAAAATGATCTGTTTTTAGATAGAATTATTTTGCATATAAGTAGGGTATGTAGTATAATATTTTACTGACCACACTATTGCTAATAGTTTCTTTTCGATGATTGAGTAATTTTTCTCGTGAGCATTTAATGTGCGAGAAGAATATGAAATTTGATTGTCGTCTTGTACGAGAACTGCGCCTGTAGTTAATTTAAATCATTTTGTAAAAATTGGATATCTTAAAATGGGGGAATTTGTAATAATATATTTTAAGTTTTCGAAAGCGTTACATAACTTGTTTTATTAAGGATATTTTATGCATCTTTTTTCAGATATGTGACCATAGGATAACATATGTAAGAATAGACTTTTATAAATTTCCTAAAGAGCCGGTAATATCTAAGAAAKATTTTATATGGTTTTGAAAAATTGGTAACTTTAATTTTTGGATAACTTCCACTTTATATGGATTTGGTTTTGTTCTTTCAGGAATTAATATATGGCCTAGAAAGTCTGTTTCTTTCTAGAAAATCGTTATAAAAACTCGCGGCAACTCACCTTTGGTTTGGAATTAAAAGCGGGAAAAATGAGTTTATAGCTGATTGGAGATACGTATATGCGCACGGATCGTAATCGAAAAATAATTGGGCGCTATCCGCCAGTCCCTTTTGTTGATTGTGTTTGGTGTCCTCGTGTGTGGTGTGGTGTAGATGATGATGCGTTGAATTGTTGTGTGTAGTGTGGGATGAAAAGATGATGTGTTGAGTATGGTGTGTAYGTGTGGGGTGTAGTGATATTATTTTAGGAGGGGGTCAGGTGCTCATTTAGCCCTACCGCAAATCATTTACCTTATTTCCAGAAGATACCAACAAAACAACAACAATAAATCATTTAATTTATACCAATAAAACAACAACAACAAATCATTAAATTTATTTTCTTATTGTACTTTTTTATTGACACACTTAATAAAATTTTCATTTGAATTTTAAATAGTTTAAGTCAGCAATATAAAACATTACTTGTTTACAAACTAAATTGTATTCATATTCATAAATTACTAATAATAATATTTCCCTTTAATTTTCAAATATTAAAGTCAGCAGAACAAAACACTGCAACAATTGTTTAGTAATTAATACTTACTTTCTGTTTACCAACAATTTTATACAATTATTATTGTTTTAATATTTGCTGTATTTTTCTTGATTCATCAAATTTCTTTTACTTACTTACCTTCATGTTAAATTAGTTTAAAAATAAAAATCATCATTGGTGTAACCTTGAAGAAGATAAGGTGTTTTACTTGGTGCAATTAACGAAGGAAAGTAATAATATAACTCGCGCTATCTACATACGTTTAAGTCATTTACTTAAATAATTAAAACTCTTAATAAATACTATGTAAATAATATTTGTACAAAATAAAATATTTTCGTACAAAATAAATTTATAAATTCTAAACTTCAGCGAAACGGAGATTTTTATTTTACTTGTGCGGGATAACCATTTAGTAGAAACAAAAATAAAGATATACTGGGTACAAACTTATTCAGAGACCAACCATTTTACCATAAGAAAACAACACTTTGCATTTCCTTCCGGTTCCCGATGCCCTTTCTGATAATCTACAAACAAATTAATAATATCCCTAACTCTATTATAAGTTAGGTCGGACTTTTTTGATGATTTCATCAAATAAAAAACGTAATTACCATATTTTCTAGAATGAACATATTTTTTGCAATTTTGCCTAAATTTGCTTTGATATTGATATCGAAACCAGGAACAACATAGCTAATGGGGCGCCATCTCAAAAGAGAACTTTTACTTGGTAGAAACTTAAATCGTCACGCATGAAACTATAAGATTTGGTGGACATATAATTGATATTTTGCCCCAAAGTCTTTTTATTGTCACTAAAAAGTGCGTTTCGTCCTAGCGAATGTTAAAACTACATTCTAATTCTTGAATAATCCCCCTAACTATTCGACTTGTTTTATTCAGTTTTAGCGTATTTTTTTGATAAAAACGCGCGAGTTAAGAAGCGTATACCTTATAATAGTAGCAAGAATCGAAACAATCTTTTGTTTCAGTAAACAGAATGCATCAAAACAACATTGAGTCGCAACAATTGAAATGCACAATCACTACAACAAACAATCCTAAACAAACATGTATCAAAGCAACATTGTAATTAACCTAAACAAATATAATAATATAATGTATCAACTAGTAATAAGTACACATACTAGTTAGTACAAATAGAAGTAAGAACCATGTAATAAGTTAGTCTTAAGAGTATAAATAAAGGTACACATTTCGGTGCCGCTATCTATTCTTTTAACTCATTTTTACTGCTGGTAAAAATAAACTCGCGTATGGAGCAAATCGTTGCTAAAAGCCTTTGCCCAACTCTGTCGAACATCTTCCCTTTTAGGGAATTCGAATAGCATCGCAGCATCTTCTACGTGGCAGTGGAACCGTCCACAAGCCTAGATGGTTCATCGTATCCTAATTGCTTACATTAAAATTTTTAAATTGAACTGTTCTACATGTGGTTGTATATACATACAAATATTATTTTATTATTCTTATAAACAGCGTTATACGTATTGACAGCTACGTGCAACGGTTAAACTGTCTTTTTACCTGTGTGGACCACGTTTATAAATACAAATCATTTAGTACACACATGCAGTATAGAAAAATTTATTTTACATGGAAAGTAAGGTGGACAATAAAACGCTAGTGTTGAAACGGGTTGCGTAAAGCAAAAATGCTTTAATTTTAAATTATAAATTCACAGTACTATATTTATACATTTATAAATACTATTTTAAATTTTGCTTATAGAATGAGATTTAATGCTGTTATCAAAAGTTTTAATTATATCTTCTTCATATAAATTAATATGCTAYATATTTTTAAGCGTTTTAGTTAACTTATTCATAATCAAATTGGAAATTATTTTTGATAATGAGTGGACCAAAAGAGATAACTATTGTCGAAAAATTTGGTATTACATATAATAATTAGTCTGAACAGTAAAACACAATAGTTGTAATATTGTAAGACAAATAAAGAGATAATTATAATAGCCATGTTTCTTATATTTTAAGTATAAATTTTTGTAGTCACAAACTACATACACTTTTTATATGTCAGAATTTAGCTATACGATGGCGATCAGGAATCCTACACGGTCCCAATTTTTAAGCTAAGTTTTTAAAGGAACTATTTTTTGATTTTGCAATATCTCTATAATAGTAAAAAGTAGTTTAAATTCGCTTACGCAACACTATTTTGCCATGCTCAATAGTAATGCTGACATAAATATTTGAAAAAAAAAAAACAAAAAAAAATGATTGTTCGAAATACACTCCATTTGAAATTATAATAATCGATAATAACTTGTTTGGCCAAAATAAAAATACAACTCAAATTCCTTAATTTTTAATAGCGGTACATTATTAGTCAAATTACATTTATTTGTTTTTTAAAGTTTAAATATCAGCTTCCACACCATTCATAATCGACCATAATTCACTAGATGTAAAGACTAATTGTAAATCGCGTATATGCAAATGTTTCTTTTTCAAATCGCTACTTGGTCACCAACGCCACCAACTTTCATTTTATGAGTGTTGTTTATTATTTGCTTGGGTGTTGTTGTTAGCGTTGTTGGCATTATAGTTGTTTTATGCAAGCATACGTAGTTCTTCCAGATGTTCTATCGGTTTTGGTGGAGCTGTTTCCTCCCACTCCCCCAATTCGGCATTATAGCAGCACGATATGGTCGCAATTCCCATGGTACTTCCTCTTCCATGGAGGTCAATTTTTCCAGCTTTGGGCATAACAGAACCAGTCAATTAGTTTAGCATATTAGAAAGTATGTAAATTCAATTTTGCTCAAAACCTACCCAACAGCTTGATAAACCTGACCAGCAGTATCAGGATCCTTAGTGCAATTCACAATAGCTTGTGCAACATTCGAACAGCACATTCACCGTAGTATTTGCTCTTCAAAAAGTTGCTTCCACCCTCTAACACAAAGCTCATTGGTTTGGTACTAGAGGACAGACAAATAATCAAACGTTGTACACCAGCTTCTTTGCTGATTCTATAAAAATAATTAAAAATAGATGGTAAGTCTTTTGAAATAAAGTTTAATTTTAGCTTACCTAGCAATGCAACGTGCACCTACCACGAGCACGTCATTGAATGTAAAATTTTGTCTCGACTTCACAACCAACTAAGTTGATAACTACATTTTTGAGTACTTCACAGCATCGTTTATCGCTTAAATCATAAAATTAGAACAGCACCCCATTACGCAGCAATATTAACGAAGCCATGTATAGTTATTTCGTACTTTTGTTGGAATAAAATCCCAGTCGTTCTGTTATTTATCTTCCCAATGGAAACTAGCAAATACTTGTTCCAGATTCAAATAACTAAATAAATCATAGTTAAGATTATTCCATGAAATAAATTCAAACAAATTGTCTTGCAAAAACCTACGTTATGATGGCAAAAATATAAATATGGCTGTGAATGAGCATGTTCTGGACCCCACTATTCGGAGTGGTTGATTATTTGTTCGTAACATTTTTCTGTGGTAAACATTTGTTAACTTACCACAGTTAAAAAGATGCATAAATAAAAAACTTAATTTTTCATGTATTTGCTCATATTGTTCTCATCTTTAAGAATACTGTGCCCAAAAAATAAGGTGACATTTGAATTTGGAGAATTTTTTTTTATTTTGGTAATATTGTTAGTCACATGTATGTCAAATTTCATGTCAAAATATTCATTAGTGTTTGAGATACGTGTCGTTTTGTGAGCTGCTAAAAGTGAGTTTTTCGTATTTTGCGATGTAGAAATTTGTTGAGCAAAGAATTTGCATTAAATGATCATTTCGCCAAAAACTCAACCCATATCGTTCCGCAACCACCGTATTCACTCGATCTGGCGCCGTGCGACTTCTGGCTGTTCACCAAGCTCAAAAGACCGCTCCGCGGACACCGTTTTTATACGATATTCAAGCCGCAGCAAAGACGGAACTGAAGGCTATCCCGGAAAGTGCCACTACAATTAGTGCTTCGAAGATTGGAAAATCCGTTGGCATAATGTACTACATCTAGTGGGGATTAGTTTTTAGGGAATGAAATTGATTTGGAAGAGTAAATAAAGAATTTTCAAAATAAATGCAATGTCACCTTATTTTTTTGGCACAATAAAAATATTTTCTTTTGAAAATATAATACAGTTTTATATATGACCAATATTTTTGGGACTTTTTCATAAATTTTAAGAAAATAACAAAATGCAATCATTTTCCGGTTAAAAGTCGGATTAATTTAAACCAATATTTTGATACAATAAAAAAAATGTTAATCGAAACTATGTAAATTTAATTTTTATGAATTTTAGTAATCGAAATATATACAAAAACATACTTAAAATAATAAATTGGATAGCATAACACGCCAACACACTCGTACCTTTTGTAAGGCATTTGCCCGTATTAGTAGTAGAATATTTAGGAAACCCTAACGAACTGCCTGGTCTTTTGTCCTGTCTGCAAGCTTTCCCCTGTGTATGTATGGGTGAAAATGATAGGATTTGTTACTTGTAGGTTTATATATATGCCCCAAATACGCCCTGCGAGAAATATTTTATGATTGTAAATGC